AGGTTCCAGTCAATCAGGGATCAAGTAGTAGATGTGTTGATATCACAATACTGTGTAATCAGCTAGACTTAGTGGTGTGTAGATGCTTCCTGGCCTTTTCTTGAGGGCCATCCTAGTCATTTATGGGTTAATACTAGGAACCTAACAGGGTCTTCCTAGCCCTTTCACAACATCACTGATAGGTCTGTTCCTTCCCTGGGTGGTTCTCTCTTCAGATTCTGGGATAGTAGTGTACATGTTTACCCAGTTGAGAGATTTTCCATCCATACCATAATGGACGAATTGGGAGGGGGGGTTACCATTATGAAGGACACGCCATAATGTGTAGTGCACATGTTCTACACAGATGTTGAATTTACGTTATCTTTACACCTTATCCACACATTCCTTCTGTCTTTTTTTGGTGTTGATTTGCATAATGGTGATTATTGTATCAAATATATTCTTTTTTTGTCTCAATCTTTTTTATTACATCACCTTGCTGTGGATATACAAACCTTTGCTTTCTTCCTAGGAAATTTTACTTGCTGAAAAATGGGCCAAAATGAACAAACTTCCTTTCCCCAAAATAGACCCACACGTGTTTGATCGTGAGGGATTAAAGGAGTGCTATGTCTTCAAACCCAAGGATCCCGCATCTGACATAAACTGTCCAACAATTATCCACTTTGTTTTGGCTAACATAAATTTCAGAAAGTTCAAAGCCCCAGGTGAGTTGCCTGAAGCCCCCTTCCCCAATAATACTGGATTATCTAGAGAGCCATATTACATATTTTTTAAAAAATATCTGTGTGATTTAAACGATTATAGACGTTCTTGTTGCTCACTGCATATACCGGATCGATTATTGGATAACCTGGAAAAGAGTGTGTGTGCGCGCACGCATGTACACTCTCTTTTTTGCAGGAGAGACTTTGCCTTTGTAGCCACTGCATTGTGGAAAGACATTCACTTGAATTCTGCTGAAAATACCCTGTTGGAGGGATTTCTATCAACAGAGTGTTACTTCCTTGCCTCCCATTTCCTGCTGCTGCCCAAAGTGTTCCCTCAAATGCTTCTCCTAGGAGGATCAGAGACACACCCCTCCAGAGAAGCATGAGGGGAGAGTCAGTAAAAATTGCCCTGCCTTCCATCAGCACAAATCTTCTGCAGGATCCAAAACACTGAAATCTCTTTTTAGTGGACTGAATTTCAAACATCCTCATACTAAAGTAAGATATGGTTGGCTATCATCTAACTATTTGTTGTATGCACAGCCCACCTTATTGTGAATGTATGTGGCAGCCAACAAAATCCTTTAAAGCGACAATAAACATTTTTAAATGCATGGAAATGTCCCTGTTCTTTCCTGACTTTGAGTTAGATTTTGTAGAGCTTATGAAAGTTGTCAGCCTTGATCTCTGTCATGGGATGGAGTTCCTCGTGGAGATCAGCTCAAAAAGGCTAACAATTGAAAGGGGGGGAAACAAGCAACAAAAATGCAAGTTAAAGCAATTCAATAACAATCCCATAGCAGCAAAAGCATTCCAGTCTGCGCAGCCATAAAGCTAACAGATAATAAAGACAATAATCTTTCAGTAGCATAAAATAATGTTAAGAGCAGAAAAGCAGATCATAAGAACATCTACCAGGTAGGAAGATACAGGCCAAGATCATAATTAATTAGTTAATTAATTAAGTATAGTATGGCAGTGTGTGTAGTATAGCCAGGAGATCCAAAGGTTGTCTGGCAGCCAGAAGTTTTAGCTCTTTTAGCATTATGCACCACTAGTTGGTGAGCTAGACTTGTTTTTAAGGCTAGAGACATTTCAGAGGTAGTTTACCGTTGCCTGCCTTTGCATCATATCTCTGTCATTCTTTGGAGGTCGCCCATCCAAATACTAGCCAGGGCCAACCCTGCTTAGCTTCTGAGGTCTGATGGGATTGGTCTAGCTGGGCTATCCAGGTCAGGGCTACCAAGATCATAAATATTATTATAAACTTTAGTTGAAAAGCTAAAATGTAAAGGGAAACAAAGATGTTTTTGCTCGGTGCCTAAATTCTAACAGGATACACACCAACGGGGAGGGCATTCCAGACATGGGGTACCACCACCAAGAAAGCTCTACCAGTAGTTGCTACTCACCTCTGTGGGGACATAGAGAGAAGAGCTTGAGATGACAAGCAAGAAAGCACAGGAGAAAACCATTCTTCCAGTCCCCTAACCATTTAGTGCTTTAAAAGTAAGCAATGGCATGTGGAATTCTTCATCTGTCTAATAACACTAGATTGTAAGGTAACAAGCAAAAGCAGGTCTCTGGCATTTTAAAATATTTACTTCTTTATGGTTTATTCATAGGTGTTCCTCGAGAAACACAGGAAGAAAAGGATTTTGCTGACTTTGATATTTTTGATGACCCCGATACACCATTCTCCACCTTCAACTTTCAGTATTCGAATGAGGCCTTCAAGAGGCTGCATGACCTGATGGAATTCAATACCCTAAACAACTTGGATGTACGTAAAATGCGGAACCCACTTTGACTTTCACAGAGGGGCCTTTGATGCCCAGGGCACTAGATTGCAGAGGTGTAGGACTAGATGTGCTAGAAATGACACGCACTCTCTCTGTCTCTTCCGTTTTTACCTGGTGCTTCCTCTAAAGAGCTGAGGCTGTCATATATCTAGCCCCAGAACCCACTTTCGTGCTACAGGGAAGGGGAATTGTCCTGTTGTTATAACTTCCAAGACAGTTTTTCACAGACTGCCCCAACCTGGAGTAAAAGAAAGGGACGAGCAAAAACAATAGCAAAACGACACACAGAGGGATGATTTTTGTGAAGAAAAGCTTTCCTTAAGAAAAGGGATGTCCCTTCTGCATCCAAGTTTGAAAACCAAGGGCTACTGGCATGTGCTGCCTTCATCTTGTTGTGGAAGTCTGGTAGAATGCGAGGGGAAGTCACCAGTGTGGCAGAGGGCTGTTGGGATGAAGGACAGCAACCTTTGCCAATCTTCATGATCCCTCAGCAGCATAGCAGCACTCAGGTTGGAAACTGCAAGCTGTTCAACCAGCCACAAATCCAAACACTGCATCAATTGAGTTGTAGGGCAGAGAGATGAAGAACTTTTTAGAAGAGGGCAAGGAAAAAGTGGATGTAAGCGAATGTTTGTTTTTAACCACATAATCCAGGGCTATTTTTGGGCAGGAACGCACAGGAACGGAGTTCCGGCTGGCTCCCAAGTTGGCCACACCCAGCAGGAACTCATTAGCATAATAGGCCACACCCAACAGCAGAAACTCATTAGGATTGGCTACATTAGGGGTGTGTGGCCTAACATGCAAAGGAGTTCCTGCTACAAAAAAGCCCTGGGTTTGGACAAAAAACAAGGAAAACAGAATACCAAGCAAAAGGTGGGTGTGGCTGGATAACCACACTTCTGGTAACATGGGGGTGCGGCCTAATGTGCTAATGAGCTGTGCTGTTGGGTGTGGCCTAATATGCTAAAGAGTTCCTGCTGTTGGGTGTGGCCTATTATGCTAATGAGTTTCTGCTGGGCTTTTTCTACAAAAAGAGCCCTGACAAGAATCTATTGTGTTTTCCACTTTTCTATTATATTGACTCTTGGCCCTGGCTTATTTCTCCGTATTTTGATTTTACCTGTTTCCATGCCCTCCCTTACCCCCAGCAATAAGTAGGTTTGCCAGCTGGCCTGGAGAAGAATGTTCCATCCCCTTTAATAGAGGCTGAATGTATTGAAATGGTCAGGTGAAGGTTTTCATGGCACGGAGGTGAAATAACATCCTATTAAGCCCCTGTTGAAGGAACAGGATATTTTTCTCCAGGCCAGTTGGCAACCCTGCCCATAGCCTCCCAGCACATACTGAATTCTCAAATCAGCATGGAGTACTTGGATACCACTTAACTGCTGCACGGAGATAGGTCCATTTGACTTGAAGTGGAGGCGGAGTCGAGCCAAATATGTAGCTTTATTATCCTGTACTTCTCTTTCAGTATATTTTGGGATTGCTGCTGCAGTATAATTCACGTGCACAGGCAAGTCATCTCCTTGTTTGTTCTCCTGGTTGGGAAGACAGCTGAGTAGGGAGTGGTTATTTCTATTTTTAAGCACTTAGGAGCGTCTTTCAAAGGGGAACGGGGTGATGGTGGTGGTGGTAAGCAGCCAGTCAGAAAGAAGAGGCCTGCATTGAGAAGATTGCCCACTTTGTTTGCCAAGCCCCAGAATTTGGGACCTACAGCAAGTACATCCATGTCCAAAGCCATTCTTCTTCATAATATCTGTGTTAACTCTGGGCTAACAAGCTGTTGAAACGACAGATGCTTTTCGTTAGGAAGGGAGCTTTGCAGGCTGTTTTCCGATTGAGCTTAAGTTAATGCACTTTTCCAACTGAGATTAAGTTAATGCACTTTGGCTCTCCGTTCCCAAAGAAGCTGCTTCGGTATGAATCTGCCTTTGCTGCTGATTGCTTTTCAGAGGTTTTGCTCTGAACATTGTTTTGACATTCTTCTGTGCTGTGTGTCCATCATCCAAGAATGCGAATACTTCCCGCATAACAAGGCGAGGCCATAGTATTTTAGGAAGGACGTTGCTCTGCATTTTGAGATACTTTGTGTGTGGTCCAGGTGCGCAGAGACATAGCTGTCTGCTCACAGAAGGGGAAAGAGAGCATTCTTTCTCCCTTCTTTCCCCCTGCCCCCGTGCTCATAGTTAAATTAACTTGCACCAAGGCAAGAGGAAGGACGGGATATGGAAGGCACGAATGAGCCTTGAATTCTAATAAGGGCTTGGCATTCTGTGGTGTTTGCGAACCTGAGATTGTAGAGTGGCAAGGAAATAGGGTTGCCAACCTCCAGGTGGTGGCTGGAGATCTCCTGCTGTTACAATTGATCTCCAGGCAACAGAGATCAGGTCACCTGGAGAAGGTGGCCTCTATGGCATTGTGCCCCACTAGTCCCTTTCTTCCCCACCCTCCACGTGCTCCACCCCCAAAATCTCCAGTTATTTTCCAGTCCGGAGCTGGCAACCCTGTGGGAAGAACCGATTGCTGCCCAGCTGCAGGCCTGCCCCCCTCCATATTTGGGCTTCTGTGCATATCAGTTATGCTTTCCTGGGTGGATATCTTATCTACTCATTTAAAAATGCAAATACCTGAGCGGGACATAAAAACAATACCTGTTCAGTCTGGAGGAAAGATTTCGAATAGTTTGAGCCAACATGACATTTCTTAGATTCTTGCAGGGCTTCTCCCCCACCCCCCACCCCGAGCTGTTTGTATGTTTTGCAATGATCTGTGTCCTATTTCACAGGGTCTGGCAGGCCCAAGTTCTTGGATTCGGAACATGACTTGTTTTCTGTTAGTTTTTCATTGTGGTTGGGTGTGTCGAGCTTCCCTAGTCAGTGAAGCTTCCGAGACAGAATTTGGAATGGCAGCCTCCCCTCACTGTATTGCGTCCTGCCTCCCCCTTATGTCATCAACACTGCTGCCAGACCCCTTTTTCCGGGGCCTGATGCTGAGGCCCTGAACTGTATCAGCTTTGAACACCAATAGCTTTGCAAAAAAAAACACCCCAATAGTAGTTTAGCACTTTTTGTGTGTATTTAGAGAGCCCTTGTGATCTGAGGCCTTTACCTGTAACCTACTGAGCTTGTGTGTACATCTAGCTCTGCTATTGTTCCCTTAAGGGACAGTTTGGTGGACCAGGAAGGTGAGAGTCAAGCACAGCTGACTTGTAAATCCAGTGGTCAGGCTGGCTGTGAGGGACGGGCTTCCTTTTAGATCAGACTCTTTCTTGATATAGGTGAACCCAAACTCGTCAGATTTCAGAAGCTAAGCAGGATCAGCCCTGGTCAGAATTTGGATGGGAAACCGCTAAGGAATTCCCGGGTTGCTACGTAGAGGCAGGCAATGGGCAAACCACCTCTGAATGTCTCTTTCCTTGAAAACATTATGGGGTCGCCATAAATCCGCTCCAACTTGACGGCAAAAATAAATAAAAATTAAGGAACGCTGGGTAGGTGGGAAAGGGGTGAATGTCTCTTCCCAACTCTCAGATGGAGCTGGGTTTCCGCCACAGCTCTTGAGACAGACGTGGGACAAGGCACCCTGTCAAGTGGGCATGCAGAGTGGGTCGAGGGAAGCCTGAGGCCCTTTAAGCCCTTGGTTTGAACCACTCCCCCCCCCAAATTCTCTGTCCAGATGCAGCTTAGACTATGTCAGTTAGTGTGGAGGGAGAAATATAATAAATATTGATGTGCTTGAGAAGTGAGGAAGTTTTTAAAAAAAGTTAACCTCACCTTAACCATACTAACAGTGTAATATCACCACTTTAGTATTCATTATTCCTCTAGTATTATGTCAAAGGTTGGACTCCAGTGCATGGACTTCCAGTGCCGTCAGCCTGAGTCATGAGCAGATTTGATTTTTCCCCCCTTTGCTATCAATTTAATTAGACAAAGTATATTTTTCCCCAGCCATAGGTACACAAGTTCTTCTCAGAATGTGATCAAATTCTGCCACCTGCTGGCTATATTTCATCTTTCACTTTAATTAATGTTCGGCATGTACAAAAATAAAACACAAGTACTTAAATGGGTAAACCAGCATGGGGCAGATGTTTTTAAAAGAAGAGCTAACAAGATCTGATAGCTTGCATCATAATTTGTTTGCTTCAAACATGGTTTTTCTTCAAAACAGCTATGTATGGAATCATCTTTTATATTAATTCAGTGGCTGACATTACTCTGTAATTACCATATCCAGTGATTTATTAAGCTATCTGTTAACTATGAGATATCCTCCACTTTGATTAGTAATTGGATTAAATTCAGGGCCAGAGTTGTGTATGTTTTTTATTTAATCCCCCATTAACAATAAATGGGTATTTGGCATGGATAATAATCCTAGCAGCTGTTACTCCATTTTAGCTCTAACTCTGTTTCATATAGAGTCCCACAATGGATTCCACTGCATAAGCATAAAAATGTATGATTTGCATATAGCAGTATCCTGGCAATATAGTCATGAGACTTATATTACTTGGTCTTTCCATATGTTTTGCAGTGTGGGTTTTCATTAGTGTCCAGTGATTTATTAAGCTATCTGTTAACTGAGATATTCTCCACTTCGATTAGTAATTTGATTAAATTCAGGGCCAGAGCTGTGTATGTTTTTTTTCATCCCCCCATTAACAATAAATGAGTATTTGGCATGGATAATAATCCTAGCAGCTGTTACTCCATTTTAGCTCTAACTCTGTTTCATATAGAGTCCCACAATGGATTCCACTGCATAAGCATAAAAAAGTATGATTTGCATATAGCAGTATCCTGGCAATATAGTCATGAGACTTATATTACTTGGTCTTTCCATATGTTTTGCAGTGTGGGTTTCCATTAGTGTATCATATTTTTGCCTCTGCACACTTTCCCCCCTGTATGCGTTGCTAGTCACACACAATTATGCTAACCCAGCTACAGTGGACCCTAATTGGATGCATGGCTACATACTGGCTGCATGCAGTAGCCTGACCTGAGGTTAGGAAGTACATATACCTGGCTCTTTAAAGGAAGGCAGAATCTCATCAACATACATACATGGGGAGCAGTGGCACAGTGGGTATATCCCACTGTCTTAACATCCGAACTGTGTTAGTTCGAGCCCGCGCTGGTGTGAGCAGCCAGCCTGTTGTCCCCGGCTCATCATCCACCCAGCGATTCGAAAGCTTCGGCGAGTAGATAAAATGGGAACCACTCCTTAGAGAGGGTGGGCACGCCAATCTCCTTTGTGGGAGGGTGTGAGCTGACGGTCGGACGTCCTGGTCAAGGTTTGGAAAGGTGAAATAACTTCTCGGCTACGAAAGAATCCCTGCAGTGGATGTTCCGGCCAGGTGGTGGCAGTGTGGCAATTGACATACGGGTCCTGAAGCCTGGTCAACAAGCAGCCGTGTGGAAAACGACGGAGCCAAGCCAGAAGACGTCTACACCGGGCAGTGACGGCGTGTGCAATTAAATGAATATATGTTGTCTTCCCTTTCCCCTACAAGCCTGCCTGAAAGCAGCACTCTTTTGTTTTTGTCTTTCAGATAATCAAGCAAGCAATAGCAGACAGCATTGAATACAGGAGGCTGAACCCATCCCGTTGCTCCGTGTCCCTCAGCAGTCTTGAGGCAAGGCGGTACTTTAACAAACCCCCAAACAATAGCCACACCTAGAGACAATGCACGGTGGCCTTTCTTCCCCAGACGCAGAAAGCATCTGGATTCATCACAGAGACATTATTGTGAGAAAAATCACTGTTTAGGAGTGAAACGCTACGAAACAGAAGAAGATGGTTACATCAGGTTTTCTGGGTTTTTTTTTAATATACACCTCAATTTATTATACAGCAGTATGACCGTTTTAAGCAATGTGAAAGCATATATTTTTTAAGTTCCATTTAGTTCACGAGCAATTCATTTCAACGGCCCTATTTCTCACTTGAGTTTTTTTGTTTTGTTTTGAATCTGTGAAATTATATATAATACTTTAAAAAATCTTGAGGTTTTGTATAGTCTCAGCAGTAGCCCTATACAGGCATTAAACCACGTATACGCTGTATGTCGGCAGAAAGGAGCAACTCACTCATTGGCCACACTCCCTAAGATCTGCATGTTTAACAGAAAGAATGTCTGTATAAAACCCTCTGTGAATGATCAGAAACCCTCAATGTTTAGAGATTTGGAACATACTGAAGGGCCTATGTCTATGCAATTGTATGCATTTAGGGGTTCATGCCGATGTTCCCCAGATTGTGTAGAAGTGGGAGGCAGAGTCAAAAAGCATGATCCTGTTCTACTCTATTACATTCAGTATATGCTTAGGGTTGGATCCTATTACTCCGTTTCACTAAATTGGATCTTGTGACTCCAACAGAGAAAGACTAGATTTGAAAGAAAAAGTCTTTCCTCCATCAGAGGAAGCCTTTATTAAAAAAGTAAGTATTCTGCTTAACAGAAAAATCACGCAGTGCAATCCTAAACAGAGTTACATCCTTTTAATCCTATTGAAGTCAATGGGTTTGGAACGATAAAACTCTTGCACAGATAGTGGAATGGCTTCTAATGTCCTGGCCCCACTGGTGGACCTCCTGATGGCACTGATATTTCTGGCCACTGTGTGATACAGAGTGTTGGACTGGATGGGCCTTTGGCCAGATCCAACATTGGCATCTCTTACGTTCTTATGTTCTTATAGGATCCAGGTTAGCAGAATGGAGTCCTAAGAGCTAACCCCTAATGTAACATTTGCACAGAGCATATCTTACAAAGCTTCCTTCAGGATATTTGGCAGAACTGTAGTATCTTCAGTCAGCACATTGGTCCTGATTAATAATGGACTAATTTTTAAATAATAGATCAAAAATCCCAACCCACGTGAGCATTAGCATCAGTGTAACATAATGAGTGTGTTAAATGTATATTTAATACTGGGTTTTAATCACAGAGTTGAAAAACACATCTCTTCACATAATTCAATGCGAACAAGAACTACAATAAACCAACTGTTTACTATTTGAATGTATGCCACAGTAAGTTCATGTCTTAGATTTAAACATTGTGATATTAAAGAGAATTTTGTTTGACTGAAACTCACAATAATATGAATATATAAATTTCTTTTATTCTTCCTGAAAATTGTCCTGCCTTCTTGAAGGTGATAATGTGCATTTATTTAAATACTAGTTTTGGACAACTTGAAAGTAAACATTGTCCCATTGAAAAGGACACATGTCCAAATATACATTGGCCTGTTAGGACTGGACTGTTGAACAGTCCAACAATATTAGACTGTTAGGATCTTACATATTTTGAGGGCTATAGTGACTGACTCTGGAGCTCAGTCTTCCAGTATCTGTACTTTTGCTGTGGCTAGTAAACCAAGAATGACTTCAACCTTGGAACTATCTCAGCCTTGAAACCATCTCTAATAGAGGCTGGTGATTCCATTTGTGGAACATCTGCTTTGTGTCCAAAATATCCCAGGTTTAATCTCTAACATATCTAATTAATGGGTCTCTGGTAGCAGGTCTTAGGGAAAAATGAAAGCCTGAACAACTGCTACTAGCCAGAGTAGATAATACTGTGCTTCATAGTCCAGTGGTCTAATAGTATACGATAATGTCATGTATTCCTTTAATTTCCTGATTATATCATTATTTGTAGAAGATGTATTTTATTAGTACCATAGTATTGTTAATAGTAACGGTATTGGTTATATTAATACTATTTCATTTTAGAATTCCCTTATAACTTCTCAGTGATATGATTGCTGTTTCATCTTAGAATTCTGAAATGAAAAATCTTTTATATTAAAAATGTGGTTAATGTCTTTCATTAATCATCAGTTTTTCCAGATAATTGGAATGTGGACGAAGACTCTTGAATCCCACAAGGTTCAGAATTATGAATTTAAAAATAAATGTAATTGTTCTTCCTGAAAACTGGGTCAACGCTTAGGGTTGGATCCAGACTAAAATTTCTGCTTAAAAAGGGGGAGATGTGATTTCTTCTGATTCTCACTTCCTGCTGCAGACTTCTGGTTTTTACCTCATACTATTTCCAAGGGTCAAATTTGGGGTGGGAAGGGGAGGAGCAGTTGCACAGTCCTGTTCAGGGTGCTTAGAATCCAAGCCAACATTTCTTGAAGTATGAGGAATTGCACTAGCTCTTTTCCTGCAATGTTCAGAGGCAGGAAACCTTTCCAAACAGGGGGAGATACATGCAGTTTCTACCAATAGGCCCGAGTGCACCATGCTTCATCCTGCTTCTGTTGTAATACACAATGTTCCATGAGAGTGCAGAAAGAGGAAGAATGACATGCTTGGGCTTGTAGCTAGAAATTGTGCATGATGTGGGAACCTAAAAGGGCTCAGGTTCCCTGTAAGGTATACAAAGGGGGGGGGGAAGCTACAGACACATACTTTACTATTTTTGGATTTAATCTAATGATAAAGCAATGTTAATGAAGGTAAGAAATAAATACCAAATGTCCATCATCCCAGTGACTTTGTATTTAGTAGGTTATGTTCTGTCATACTATTCAGCTAAGTATAGAGCCTTCCTCTAGGACAAAGAACATTTCTCCTGAGGCAGAGCTTCTTCTGTTGGAGGAAAGCTCCACAGCTAGCTAAGCACAGTGGTAGGATACAAGTTGTTGACTTTGAAGCACAAACTGGTATATTTCTTACTGGACATCATGCTTCCTTGTTATTCCTCATATTGGGCCTGGCACCATTTCAGCATTGCTGTATTCGAGCAAAATGTTTGTGGAGATGGGCCTGCAATATTCCTGATTCTGACCCTCTTTAGACTTCTCTTTCTGTGATACTGGAACATACGCTGAAAACACAAGCAACACCTTCTGTTCAAAAGTCACATCTCATGATCTCCTGGCTATCCACATTCAATATGTGACCCTTTGTTCCCTTTTGTAGGACACAGTCACGCTGTGCAAACAATTTCTCTCCCTCTCTGAACGTTTTTGGTGTCTTAAAACTGTTTGATTAGTGGCTAACCCAGACAAGATACCGGGAGTTTCATGATCAGAGCTCCTGGTTCTTTTCTCTGATCAATTATTTAAAGGCCTTCTCCCCTCTATGCCATCTGCCTGACCTGAACTGGCCCTGGGAAGTGGCTGTTTTTTAACGATATGTACAGGTACTGAACTGCTGCACTGAGGACTCTGTGCAAAAATTTGCCACATTTCTTTGGCACTTCTGTATGAAATATTGCAGCCCTGAATGAGATGCAGTACTAGTGTGGGGGTGGTCTATGAGACAGGCTGGAGTAACAGGGTAAACATTCTGATGAATGTGTGAAGTCCTTGCTGAAGGAGTTTTCATTGGCAACTGGCTGCTGTAGATTCTGCAGAATTAGATGCTGATTAGGGGTGTGCATGGGGGGGGGAAATCTGTATATTTCGGAGTCAGGTAAACCAAACCCAAAAAATATCAGTAAATGCTGATATTCCCGAATCTCAGTATCAGTATTAAACTTGGATTCAGGAAATACTTGGCATTGCCAAAGATACTTGGCTCACCAGTAGAGCGTGTCAGTTTCACTCACCCTCTGCTGCCAAGTGGAGGGGGAGTGAAACTGATTCACTCTCCCGCTGTAGGCCAACTGGGGAAGTGAAGACCAATCGGGGAGGCATCTTTAAATGCCTTCCCTTCACTTCCCCTCCCCAGCTGGCCTGCCAAGGGAAGCCTCTGGGGCTTGTGCCGCCTCTGTGGCACGACTCCCCAGCCAAGGGAAGTTTAAATATTTTCCCTTGGCTGGGGAGTCATGTCACAGAGGTGGCACAAGCCCCAGAAGGAAGGGGAGATATTTAAAGTTAAAATACCTTCCCTTTGCTGGGGAGGTGTGCTGTTGTGGTGTGCCTCACCAGCAAAGGAAAGGTGTTTTAAATGTAAACACCTCCCCCTGCTTCTGGGGCTCCAGTGAAGGAAAGGTGTTTTAAATGTAAACATTTTCCCTTGCCTCTGGGGTTTGTGCTGCCTCCACAGCGCGACTCCCCAGTCAAGGGAAGATATTTAAATACCTTCCCTTGGCTAGGGAGTCGCGCTGCAGAAGTGGCATGAGCCCCAGAAGGAAGGAAGGTATTTGAAGTTATTAATGCCAAAAAAGGTTCAGCGCTATTCAGGGAATCCCTATTCGGCCCGCCAAATCAGATTGGAGAATCTGATTCAGCTTTCGGCATGACCGAATAATTCCAAATAAACTTTATTTGGGTTTTTATTCAGTTTGGCTGAACCGAATGCACATCCCTAGTGTTTTGCTGTGTTGTGTAGCAAAACAAATGTCTTGCATGATGAAGTTTGGCTTTAAATACTATTTATTTTATTATTTTTTATTAAACCATTAGTCAACCATCAGCTTTCAACAATATGCATGAAGAAATGTTACAACACAAATGGATTGTTAACACATCATCCAAATCTACCATAATATCTTGTACTTGTTAATGCTGGTTAACAATATTTGCGTGAAAACAAGAGTCCTGTGAGATCTTAAGGAGTAATGATTTTATCTCGGCTTAAGCATTTGAAGACCACTTCTTCAGATCCATCAAGTAATCTTAGTGGGCAAGGTATATTTGGAACCAGGGAGAAGGAACAACAACAACAAAAATGTGTTTGTATTCAAGTGACGGCAAATGGGTGAGCATGCAAGACAGAGATAGGCACATCCCAAGTTACACAGATCACAAATAAATATAGTTAAATACAAGGTCCAATCAACATGAGTGTGACTCATCTCCCCTTTTTAGTGGCTACTGGTGGTGAAGAGGAAAAATGACATCAAGACCCACGGGTCTACAGTGCCATCCCAAGTAGAATTATTGTTCTTAGCCATGGTGACTGAAGGGAACCTTTATATCCAAATACAGTAAAGCTATGAATGCCGGTCTTGGGAGTCAACATTAGACCTCTAGGATGTGTTTGTTGGCTTTCTGGGGCAACTGTGTAAAAGAAGGTGCTGGACTAGGTGGACCAGTGGTTTGATCCAGCAGAGCTGCTTGTATGAATTGCGCTCTTCTAAGTCCTGCCAACCTAGCAGTTCGAAAGCCAGAAATTGCAAGTAGATAAATAGGTACCACTTCGGTGGGAAGGTAACACCGTTCCGTGCGCCTTGGTGTTTAGTCATGCTGGCTACATGACCACGGAAACGTCTTCGGACAGTGCTGGCTCTTCGGCTTGGAAACGGAGATGAGCACCGCAACCCTAGAGTCAGACTCGACTGGCTTTCAAGCAAGGG